GCTTGGTGGGGATGGGGAGCTGGGTTCCTGACACAGGCAGCAGCTCAGGAAGGTTCTAATAAAGCTCTTGAAACTTCTGGATTCCTTCCTAGCCCATGATCATGTCTCCACTGACCATCCCTGCCAATGGAGCCTCCACCCCATCCAAAGACAAAAGTAAAAGGGGGTTGAGAACTCAGCTGAGACCTCCCCTTCCTCCCTGCCAAGGCCACAGCAGAGATCTCTCGAGATAGGGTGGCAACAGTGGATACCCCCCAATAGAACAGAGAGCTCCCACCCTAGTCCCCTGCTTCTCAGATTAAATTCTAGTCCAAGGCTGAAGAAAAGACAGCATTTTGGTTAGGACAGCAGTGAGAACTTTTACTCCATTTGGGAACCCAGAGAACAGACATTATTCCCAGAAGGCACTGCCACAAACAAGTTTATTTACACAAGGAGACACAGTGTGACAGAATACAAAATATTTAAACGAGAATCCATTCATTCATGACAGAGCAGGAGTGGGTTTACATGAGAGTAAGACCATCCCCCAGGGAAAGTGAGAGGCCTGGAGCCTGGGCTCAGTGCAAGGAGGATTTAGACAGCACACAAACACACAGCAAACTAATAACTCCTCAGCTCCCTCAACCCTGCTCAGGCCCCCATCGGATAATATGTAAACAGATTGCTGGGCCCTGGGTTTGGAAGGAGAGAGAGAGAATGTGGTATAGGGGAGGAAGAGGTGGCCCCCTAGGAGCCACTTCCCATCTTTGGTTTCCTACAAGCTAGACCACATTCACTGGAAGCCCGTGCATGTGCGCTCCAGCCTCTGGACACAGGGTTACTGGGAAAGAAGATGGACAGCCCATAACTCCCTCCTGCTGAGAGCCCTTCCTCGCCCCCACGCCCTAGGCTTCTGGACAGGGTTCTAGCCCTGTCCATCCTAGAACCATCTCTTTCACCATCTCCAGGCTTCAAAGCAAAAAGGCTCCAGAAAGGATCGCTTACACTTCCACTTCAGGGTGATGGCTGAAGGAAATCTGGTCCAGAATATCAGAAGGGCTTGCGTGAACTTGAAGCCCCACCCCCACCCCCACAGTCCAGCTTCTCCCCTCTCTACGCAGGGAGGTCAACAGGATAAAGTGGAGAGCCTGCCTGTGTACGCAGGTCCTCCTGGCTCCTCCTAACCCAGCTGCAGCTCCCTCTGTACCCTCTGGGTTCCTGGGAGTATGAAACAAGAAATTTGGCTGCAAATCTAAGACCCACACGTCTGCAGTGCTGAGGCCAGAGAAGAGAGGGGTCTGCAGAATGCTGAGGAGGACAGAAAGGAAGGGGAGTATAGGGTGGAAGCCTACCCCACTCCACTCCGTGTCTTAACTAGTAGTGGATCCTCCTCCTGAGGACAGAGAGGGGTGGAGGTGAAATTAAGGCGTTCCCCAAAAGCCAGCCGAAGCCAAGGCACCAACTTACTGTTCCCATCTCGGGTAGCTCCAGAATTGGAGGTACTATCTGGGAGTACTGTCCAAGGTAGGAAAGAGTACAGAGAACTGGGGTGAGAAACAACAGGGGAGACGTGGACACTGCACCCACCCCCTACAGAAGGAAGGGATTGCTAAAGCTGGGGCCTGGGCCATGTGGTGGGAGGGCGGGAGGGCTGGAGCAGCTTGAAGGAGCAAGGCTGAGAGACCCACACAGCACACGTTGTTGAATGTGTGACTTTTTGTTTTTAATAGAAAAAATAAACAAAATCACAATGATGAAGCCCAGAGGAATGGGGGCCAGGGTGTCACAGGGTCGGCTCCTGCTCCATGGGCTCCTCTGCTGGCCTGTGGGGACAAGCACAGGGATGCCACTGAGTAGAGAGCACTCACTACCTTAGGCCGGGGCAGGGGGATGCCAGGTGAGAAGCCTACCTGGGGCTATGCTCTTGAGTGGCAACGGCCTGGGCCTGCTCAGCCCCCACGGAAAGCAGGGCCATGGCGCTCACAGTCTCGGCCTCCTCCGTCTCACCTGTCTGAGCCTCCCGCAGAGAGCAACCCAGACCAGTGGCGAACCTCTGTACACAGCTCCAGTGTTTGCCTGTGGAGAGGGACAGACAGGATCAGGGAAAGCAGACTGGTCCAGATGTACCTGCTAGCCCTAGTACCTCACTCCCCGTATGCCTCGACCTCTGGGCAGGTTGAGGTATGAGCCCCTCTGCCTGTCCCCACGCACTCTGGATCTCGATGACTTTCTCTAGTGTGGCAACCGCATTGACGCTGGGTTTCTGCTGCAAGACTGCTTCATCCAAGGGCTGCAGCTGCAGAGAAAAGGAGAGCGGGATAGAGAGCAATGCCTAGCTCTCCAGCTGTCCCCACGCAGCCCAGACATTCCTGTGCTGGTAAGCACGGGCTTTTGGGAGGAAGCCCTGATCAGAAAGTCTTCCTTGGCCAAATAGTCTAAGACCTAGGCAAACCTCAAGGATCCTCTGGGGTCACTGGACCCAGGGAAGTGGATATCCCTGCTGACCCATCAGCCCCCACCTGCTGTCCCACCTCTCTGTCCCCCATTCACCTCCACGCTGAGCAGAGCCGAGACACAGGCCTCAGAGGCATCACAGATGGCGGTCAAGTCGTGGCCTCCCTCCAGGGCCAGCACCACCCGGCCCCCTGCCAGTGTCATGAGCTGCCTGGTCAAGTGGCCAAAACCTTTGCATGGGAGTAAAGAGAAAAGGATGAATGGTAAATTGTATCAAAGAGACAGAAGAAGAAGAAGAAAAAAAAAATAAATGAGACAAATCGCATAAAATATGACAGCAGACTTAAGCCCCAATACAGCTACAATGAAGCAAAGTGTCAGTGAACTTAGTGGAGGACAGGCTAAGATGAGATGCATTTCCAGTAGGTCAAGGCCAGTGAGCTCCAGTGGAAGATACTTGTTTGCTACTCCACTTCTACCTGCCGGTCCCCATGGCAGGGTTGGCAGAAGGGTGGGCAGAGCTAGCAAGTCTTAGACTTGCTCCCTGCAGTGCCAACTTATTCCCTGTCCCATGTGCCTCAGTGTTCCACACCCTCCCAGACCCCTAGTAGGCTCACATCTGGCGGTGACAGAATAGCCACCCAGTGGAGACAGATGTCCTTCAACAGCATCAAACCCAGCGGAGACTAGGACGACGTCGGGTGAGAACTCGTGGGCAATGGGCATCACCACTGTCCTGTAAAGGGATGGCCCAAGCTAATGCCAGCAGAGGCCAGGCTGAACCTTGCCACACTCTGTTCTCCATTGAGGCCATACCCCTCCACCACCCCAACTGAGTGCCTGCTGCCCCTGCCAGCTCCGGCTCCCACCCCTCCTCTGGCTCTTCTCAGTCCCCACCTGAAGGCTGTCAGGTATTCCACATCTCCAATGGGGGGATCCACACCTCCTGTCCACGCCACATTAACATTGTACCCCACGCCTGGCCCTCCACCAACCTGGCATAAGGTAAGAGAGGTTACTATCACCGCCCTGGATTGCAAGCACTGCCCCTCCCCTGCCTCCAGCGTCTCACTCCATTGACCTGTTTTACTCAGCTGGCAATCAGACCTGTGTAGTCCTCCCACTGGGAGCCCTCGAATGCCACATGGGCCAGCACCATGAATGGGCTTCTGTGGCTTCCTGCCAAGTCCCATCCTGCCAGGTCCCAGTGTGCTACCTCCCAGGAAGGGCTGACATGAAGGCCCAGGAGTTGTACCTCTTCAGGAGCCCCAGAGCCCGGGAAGAAGTTCCCATTGTCATAGCGATGCAGCGAGATGTAGAGCACGGAGGGGTCATCGTAGAATGCTTGCTGGGTGCCGTTGCCATGGTGAATGTCCTGATGAGGAGAAGTGGAGGGTGTTTGGGGCACCAGTCTAAGCTCTAGTCCAAAGGCTAACATGCCACCTGTTCCCCGCCCACCCTACCATTAGCTCTGAAGACGAGCCCACCAATGGCTCCAGGGCTGTGACACTGAATCCAGGCTCTACAGCCATGGATGGATATGGTTTGTCTCCCTGCAGAACCCATTTCACTGAAGTGCAAGGGAAACCCAGTCTGGTAAGAAATTTAACACACGCAAATAAATTCTGAAGAAGGATCCAACATTTACGTGAATTTGTTTTATTTTGAGACAGGGTTTCACTAGGTAGTCCAGGCTAGCCTTGAACTCTCAATCCTGAGTGCTGGGATTATAGTTGTGCACCATGCCTGAATACATGTTTTTAAACCAAAATTGGATTTCAAAAATTCTACCTTTGCTGGTCAGACACAGTGAGCGGTATGTTCACTTTCCCCATGGTGACAGAGGGCTGAGGAACACCCACAGCCTCAGGAGCAGAGGTGTGGCCTCTTTGCTAAGTAACCCAAACAATGTCCTCACTTAGAGAATAGAGGAAGACTTTGCACTGCTAGAGGTGGCTGTGAGCAGCACAGTGTCAGGTTCCTGGCACACAGCAGCCCCAATGATAAGGGCAAGGAGAAAAATAGATTCTGGTAGTAGTGGTCACACCCCGTCCCTATGGCTCATGGGAGGAAATCATCTGGATGTTGGAGGTTGCTAGGGGGAAGATGCGGTAAATGAGGCTAAAAACACACTGGGGAGGAACCACCCTACTGAATGAAAGGACCCGCCTGATGAGTCAGGCGGTGGTGACACACACCTTTAATCCCAGCACTCAAGAGGCAGAGGCAGGCGGATCTTAGTGAGTTTAAGGCCAACCTGGTCTACAGAGCTAATTCCAGGACAGCTAGAACTATTACACAGAGAAACCTTGCCTTGAAAAACCAAAACCAAACAAAACAAAAAAGGACCTGTCTGATGATGAAGCAAGAAGGATATAAACTGAACATGTGAAGCCAAGGAGTGAGTCCTAGTGCCACCCAGAGGTGGAGGCACTTCTGAAGGCCTTCCATGGCATAGCTCTGCCCATCCCTGCCCAGGCAGCCCAGCCCACTGCCTACCCAGTCCACGATGAGCACCTTGCCCACGTTCAGCTTCTGCTGCAGGAGTTTAGCT